GGTCAACTACACAAACGTATAGTCCGAGCAGCTCCATGTTAGCAAAGAATCACACCTTTTGACAGAATCTGTACAGTGAAATGAACAACTGAGTCTTTGTCATTTGGAAAAGAATGTAAACTTTTGGCATCTGTAACTTGATGAATTTATGCAATTAACTATACCAGCTGTGCAGCAGTAACCTTCATCGTGTGACTGAAGTTCCCTGAAGCTGAGTTAAATTCACAAATAGTGCACTGCCTTGCAAAGCTGTTGACAAAATCAGCTCATCATCAAAGTTCTATTTTCAGTAGCAATTATAAAGGCCCTCATAAATAACAGTAACATGGATATTTGATTACTAAATTCGGAAAGAATAAGATCAGGGTAAAATGAACCCTACAGGGCTGAGACAAACAAGTATCCTTCAGTAGAGAAGGTATTGCTTCACAAAGGAGCAATGTTTATTTTTCTGCAGTCTTAACTTCCTTACACCAGTGACAGCTTTTTCAAAACCAAATCTAAACTTCCTCCATGATCACGCTCAGCAGACAATCAGTCATAAATTTTGCAATTCTTCCACTAACGGATTAAAATGCATCTCCAAAACTCTCAGGACACAGCAGTACTCATCATCAGTGAGCCGATGAGTATCTTGGTAGCTATTAGCACACTTTCACAGGAAATACTTTGTAAGGTTTCCATGAAAGGAAGAGAGAAATGCATTTTTTCTTTTTTTCTACTCTGAGAGAGTCGTAATGAGTACAGTACATACCTCTCTTTAAAAAACATTCTAAAATAATTACCATGGGTAGGAATGGGATGGAAAGCTATATTTAGTTCACATGAATATGATCAAAACAACACACAAAAGTTCTCTGACACACTCCAAGTTGTCTGCATTTGATCCTTACTCCCCTGCTGAGCTTGTTCTCTGGATCGCAGACTTGGGGCACAGGAGGAACCTGCTGAGACTACCAATGGATCTATTATTTGGCTCATAAAACTTGTAAAAATCTCACAGAATGCACAACATGCTATTGTGTCTGTAAATCTCTTTCACGACTTAGCAGCCTGACTCAAAGCAGTCTGGCCTGTTTTCCCTTCTACCATAAAAGGGTTTCTTGAAAGAGCCATTTAACTGTGACCATGGTTTCAGCAGCACTGTGAAGACAAAGGAAGGGTTGAAGTCATATGGACACTTCAGTACTCAGACTCCAGCAAATCAGTACATTTTTTCCCTTAGAACTTGCTTTGCATAATTCGTTCTCTTTATGTACTGAATGACCTAATACATCAATATTCAAGATGCAAGAAACTGCCACTTGTAAGCTTTAATTTAGATTCATGTATTAGAAACTATAGTGCATCTATAGAGCGCATTCTCTAAAAGAATGTCTTCAGAGGATTAATTCCATTATCACTGCACTCTGTCTTGCATCTTGAACAGAATAAAACAGAAGGAAAATTGATTTATTTTGCCTTTGCTCTGGTTAGAATATTTTGAAACACAAGGAATTATTTATTTCACTTCTGATTCTACCAAAGAAAGGTTTGTATGAAAATAGACTTTTTAAGTTTCTAATCAGTTTCTCTGTCCTTTATGACGATGCCTGTTTGCAGTTGCTGCTGCCATGATCATCACTGAGATGTTTCTTTTGCAGTGAAACACCATAAACTAAGGCAAGAAACAACTTATAACTAACTGACTTCTCCCCATCCTATTTACAGTAGCATCCATTTTTTAACAACCATTGCTCTCCTCCCAACAGGAGCACATTTTGAACAAAACATTCAACTTCTTTCTTATGGGACCCATAACAAACACATGTAGCATGTTTGCATCCCTGCAAAAAAAGTGCTCATTTGCACCTGTATACCTATAAGATCTCCACTGTGACCAGCTTCCTCGTTTAAAATTTCCTTTTACACCAGGTGCTGGTGCTGAAATGGAAGGAGATGCCGCATACATGTGCAGCCTGGCAGCGTGCACCAGCTCTGAGGATCGCTCCTGTTTGATTACTTCTAACTGTGCATCTTTCAAAAAAGCCAGGTACTCTCAGCACACTTCTCTTTGGACTACAACTCTACCCGAGAGTTACCAACATTCTGACCATCCTGCTAGTATTTAAAATTGTACCATGTACTATTTTTAAGATCATGCAGTTTATTCAACCTAAATTAAGCCCAAGTCTTTATTCTATAAATGAGACAAACAAGAATCAATAATAAGACTTGGTGTGCAATCAGCTTGTTCTAGTATTTCCCTTGTTATATACTTGAGACATATAGACTTATAGACTTGAGATGTTTAATATTCAAGGTTATGTGTTTTCAGTCACTCACTCAACAATTCTCTGCCTTGAGTAAACACACCTATACTTTCCTGCACATCAGACACATGAATCTTTCAAAACTTTGATATCCTGAACGAGGAAGAAGTGATAACCAGAAGTGCTCTTGTTGCTTTCTCCCTCTTCTCTTACCATCTCTTTTCCATTTAGAGCTATTTATTTTTCACTATCGCTTAACAGACACCTATCAAAACCCAACCACCCAAGAGGCACTAAGCCTACCTGTTCAGACTAAATTTGCGCATTTATGTTTCTTGTCACATTTAAACAAATGGCAATGTTGGTAAAAACATAGTGAGATGCTAGAGAAAGCTGTTAGTTTGTAACTCAAAGAGCTTCCTGCTTAGTAGTTTACCCCTGCCTTCACTCTGCCAACATCATTCATTCAAGGACTTGGAAAATTTATAAAGGCAAGTAATAGAAAATAATGAGCATATTCTTGATGAAACTTTAGGATCCACTTAAAGATTCCAAGATTCTTTTGTTACTGAATTCAAATATATGCTTTACAGTCAGAGCACACTGATAACAAATTATTGATAGAAGTCCTCCTTTATTTGGAGAACTGATCATTTTGTTTAATAATGCCACATCATTTTATTTAATAATGGAACCAGTTTTGTTAGCAACCATAAAAATCACAGCCAAAAGATTTTGGAAGGTTATATTTAGAAAGTAATTTCTGTATATTTTTTAAAGATGGGATTTAGGAACCCAGCATTTCCTCTCCAGAATTCCTACTTTCAGGCCATTAAATTGTGGCTCAAACCAATTCACAGCTCATTAAAGCTAGGGATGCAAATGGGAAAAAAATTCTGAAAGCGGAAAGTGAGGGCATCCCTTGCCTTCTCGCCTCCGTAAGTCTCTCTTCCCCAGGCTTTCCTCCCTAACATCAAAGTTTTCCTAACTAAGTTTAGCACCACAGCTACTGACTAGAGTCCAAGACATGTTTCTGCTAGAAGAGTTGAAAAGATCAGAAACCACATTTATAAAAGAAAACTTGCTGCAACAAGACAAGACATACATATTGATGAATAGGCAAATGAAAGCTCTGTCTTCTACTTGGCCATATTAGTAAAAAACGTGCTTTGTACAGAATAGTGCAAGACACAGAGTAAATTAAATTCAGCAATTAACACATTCTCTGTTGCCTTTGGCATCCCCTTCTTCCGGAGGCTCTCAGCTTTCTCTGCCTCAGAAGGTACCTTGCCACAGGCCAACGCTTGGCTGGGAGCGAGGCCAGGGCCCTCGCAGGCCCGAGCCAGCCACTGCTCGGAGCAGCTCTCCACCAGCAGCCGGCAGAGTCCTTGGGCAGCTCCTTTTCCACACATCTCCAAGATCTGCTCCTCCCCTTCTCTTCCACATACTAATTTTAACATCCAACTTAACCCTAGGCTGACAGCGCAGCAGAGGACCCCTCCAAACAACTCCGAATTGGCCTCCAGGTCAATGACTGCCTGGCATTTCCCTTTGGCAGTCTCCTCTCAACACTGCTTTACTCTCCTGCCTAGTTCCCTCCTTGTATGAGCCCTGAGCCCTAACCTCTGGCTGCCTGGGCTACATTAACCCCCAAAGGAAATTCTAGCAGCAGCTCCCTATTGACTTTGGCATTTCCTCTTCAACCTGTTGCTACTATCTCATCTCAGTCTCTTCCTTGCCTGAACTTTAACCTAGGGCACAAATGCAGACAGTCCACACGGGTAGCCACAGCAAGACTTTCCAGTAAACAACAGTAATGCAGCGTATGTCTTTACTGGGTACTTTTCATAGGATTAAAATCTCCCAAAATGAAGGAAAAAAGCCCAACAACTAAAGAATCCCATTGTAGAGAGAGATGATTTTTAAGCTAGATTCTTTCAAGGATTTGAGAAATATTATTCCCGTAAGTTAACCATGAGGAACAGTACTAGTTCAGTGTAAATTACAGAGACATCACATTGCAAGACAGAATCATATCCCTAAGGCTTCTTCTTTAAGCTTCTATATTGCCAATCCAAGATTGATTTTTTTTTAAATAAAATTTATGAATGTTCCAGATTATTTGCTATTTATTCTAAGATTATTTTCCAAAGTTCTCTGGTGCAAATAAAAAGTCAAGAACATAAAATTTTGCCAGGATTCCAGACACATTATGTGTTCTATAAAGAACAAGTAAAAGGACAGAGGAAGTCCCTTGAGGAATATCTAGGACTACTTTCCAATATGCTCAGATTTCTGACTGAATTAGGATGGAGTTTCTGTATGAATTAATGGATGAATTAAGGCGTAGTATTTTAGATTAGAGATGAAATAACAGCAGTTTTCATAAGAATATTGCTGAAAAGATCATCAAAATGTTAGGCTTAGGATTATCTTTTCAAATGGGTCCATTTACTTTTCCAAAATACATAAACAAGTGATAGATTATTTTAATCTTAACAAAAGCAAGCTAATAGCCAGTCAGCATCTACTTGAAAAGAGGCCTCAATATCAAAATACAGCATATCCCCAAAACACAAAGCCCCCAGTTATCACTGACGCATGCAGAAAATAGCCCGATGCACAGAGTTAGCTTCTCTACCAGAATATAGACAGAAGCATTATTTGACTACAAAGAACCAAAAAAGCTGTAGCAATGCTGCTTACATATCAAAATGAATATCTGGGGGTTAAGATGTGGTACCATACCTTAACATATTCCAGTGTAGGATCCAGGATATTCTGATCTCTGCACGAAAATGGGGCAAAGAGGGAAGGAAGACACAGAGAAAAAAAAAAAAAAAAAAAAAAAGTAAGTCCATGTATTTTTTATAATGAAGAGATGCATTTAAATAGTTAATGATAAAAGCCAAGTTTAAAATAGTTTATGTATTCTACATAAACCTCTAGAAGGTCAGTAGTGGAATCTCTAGCAGTTCATTTTGCAACTAAAATTCACTACAGAGTTTTAAGCAAAGTGAAAATAATCAGTGTTATAGAAAATGACATTTCCAACAGTTACATACCACATAAAACACTGCAAATAAATTAAAAAGAGAGCTCTTCCAAGAGCTTTTAAATTTATTTATTTGCTTGAATGACTTCCCATTTAAGTTGCTTCTAAGGGTATCATTCATATGGCACTGGTAACACAAGAAAATAAGTAAATATCACTTTTCTTGTAAGTAAAGCATAGTTAACTCTACTTCTTGAAAAATAAATATGGTTCTTGTACTCTGTTATGGACTTCTCCAAATTTTCATAATCTCACCACAACAGTTACTTGAAAACCAGGCAATCATGCCATTGTCCCATTTTAAAGAAAACTGATCTCTTTGCAGGTTTTCTATACTTATCAATGACAAATATTCCCAAAGGCACAATAGCCTAAGAGAAGAGCCATGCGATCAACTACACTGCTTCTGTAAAAAAAGAATAAACATATGGGTACAAATGGCTCTGTACATTTGTTTTTGCTTGAAAAACATCAGGTTAACAGAATTTGCGGCAGAGACCCAGATGTTCTCTGCATAATCTAAGATGACATATACTATGCTGCCTTAATTGCAAACATGCAACTAACTAGCACACTGAAAACTCTGCAAACCTAAAAAGAGTTCGTGGGTTTGAGATAGCAACCAAGTTTGTCATACTGTCAACATACATCCCATAGATCTAAAACCAGAATCTTGTTTGGTGGAGGTTTTTATGATTATTTAACATAGGAAACTTAGTAAGTAGCTTCATATAGGTAGAAGTTCAGTTACACTAGAATCTACCAACACAGGACAGAGTCTCTAAGTTCAATGTTGTTATTTAAATGCAATTGCTGGAACTGTGCTATTGTTTTACACAAAGTTTTAGTCTTGTCCTCTAACATCATTTAATCTGGCACAAAATCAAGGGGGAAAGCAGAGTCTTTCTGTTTCTAAAGTTTCTCCTAACACGATGGTGCTCAACTGTCCAGGTTATGCCATGAGTTGCTGTTTCACATTATTGTGATATTTATCATTAGTCAAATTCCATTCAGAGTTAAATAAAAAGGAATAAAGCCACCAAATCTACTGCAAACAGAATTTGGTCTGAGACTTTTTATAGCCAATATAGAGAGAGGAAAAAAAAGGAAGGTTGGTAACCAGATGCACAAAAATTTGCAAAAAGATAACAGAGAAAACAAGGATGAAATTACAGATGGAAAAGGAAGTTGCTAAAAATAAAAATGTTTTCTTTCCTAACAACATGCAATTTAACTGGAAATATAATCCCCTTCTTCAAACACAGTCAAACTCTGCACACATTCAAACGAACACCGGGAAATCAGGGCAATGCTGAATGCTTCTAAAAAACTGCAGTTACTCACTTGTCTCTGGGGCGTGAGAGCACTGCAAAGGCCGTGGGCCGCGTGTCTGACAGCACTGCAAAGGCAGCACGCTCAGAACCAACCCCAGCACCAAGCCTGGCACTTCACCTGCTCACTGTGCCAACGTGCCCACTTCACCTCCAGCTGCGCACGGAAACAACACTCCTGCAAACCACCCTGGCAGAGGAAACGGAGTGAATGGTGGTGTGACAAAGCTCTCCACAGGTACTATAGGTACTAGCACAGTTCTGTACAGTCTGTCCAAGAAGCTGTAAGACACCCGGACACTGCAAACCCTGCAACTCCTCCCTAGCACAGGTAATGCACAAGGAGATTCGTGCTGTGACCCCCTTACCCTCAGATATCTTCTTCCTATCAGGGCTTCCCCTATACTCCCCACCTTCCCTTCCTGTCCAAGCCTTAATCTTTGCACAAATTTTTGAGGTTATTTTCAAGATGTGGTTACTTTTAATGGTGGGGAGTAACAAACTGTGAAGATTAATTACTGAATTTTCCTGTAACTCCATTCTACCACAGACTGCCATATTATACACAGAGAAACAGGAGATAAAGCAATTAGTTCAAATAATGTCAAATAATAAGCAATTAGTCAAAATAATCCTTAATGCCAAGATGCTGAAGAAAAATATATATAAGAATTATCCTTTTCATTTTTTGCTTCCAAGGCATCTTAAGCAGGGCAAACACAAAGAATCTAACTTTTGGTATTAAATCTCCTGCAACACTACTTAAGGTTATTTTTGGGTAAGTACAAGACCATGTGGAAAGTACTGCCAACTCTACCAATTCAACTGAAGGTTTGTTTCAATAATTGCAAGTTCTTCATCTTTCAACAGATATTATTACATTTCTAGTAATGTTAATATTTACCTTCATAATGAGTTTGATTTTGCAGCTTTCTTTTCTTTACTTAATACATATATGAAACAAAGCCTGCACATAAGTCAACCTGTACTGTGTAAGTTGTGGGTTCACAGACTAGCTTATATTATATATTTTGGTTTCCCAATGATCATGTAGCATCCTCTCACCTCAAAATCTCCTTCCAGTATTTTTTGCAGCAAGTCACCAAAAAAAAAAAAAATCGTAACATGTTATTATACCACCCTCCTCCCTCCCGCTGAACAGTCAAAGTCCTCTATTGATTGTGTAGAAACTGCTGCAGAAGAATAAATACTCCTCCAGTAACAGTACAGCACTTAAAAAAAAATAGTAATTAGTCAACATACTCTTGACCTCCACTACTCTGAGTTCGTTCTGACCAGAAACACATACTTGTGTTTCTAGTGACATCTGGAAATGCCTCTCTCTGCTGGCCAATCTTGTAGACATATAAACCTTTAATTGTCTCTTATTAGTCCCTGGAAATGATCTCAATTTCTTCAGACCAGCTACAAGATTCTTATGAGCATTATGTATTTTTGCATGTGTTTTGCATGAGTTTTGTGTTATACTGGCTGTGAGCGACTGTCGAAGAGCATTCAACTAATACCATTGAATACCACAAGAATCAACATACAACTCACAGAAAACATGGACCACTAAAGCTGACTCATGTGGGGAAAGGGAATAGAATATGGATGTTATTGCAGGAGATGCTCTTCCATTTCCCTTACCCCTATGGGCAGCCAAACATGAGGTTTTAAAATTTTAAAAAACTACCTTTTGAATTGACAAAATCAGTATTGTAGGTAAAAAGAAAAAAAAACTATAAGCAACTAAAACCATACTTTTGGTAAGGATAGACTAAATGTATTTCTGAAAACTTCAAATCATGCATTGATTTGGAGACAATGAGCAATCAAATTAAAGTCCAATAAAGAAAACATTGAAGTCTGAGTAACCAGTCATTCTTTTTAAATTCTTGATAAAGTTATGATGTACTTAGAGTCCATACTGCTACTGAAAAGAGGAATCCTAGTGTTTAACCTCAAAAGAAGTTACTCAATTCAGAGGATGCAGAGGAACAGCCAAAACCTCAATAACTCTGATATTCTATGCCTTTCTTTTTCTGCAGACTCCAAGTTTGGTCCTGTCACTCTCTAGCACTGTTTCAATCAAGTGTTTTAAGCAGTTACCCCTTAATTGTCAGGGGAGGATTCTAAGGAAGGCTTCTCTTTCTTCCAGTAACTGTAGGTTTCCTAGTCTCATCACTGCTGCCATGAAGAATCCCGCAACATTCCGACCTTAATTGACTAAACCATATGAAGTATCTGCTTGCCTTTGGCATCCCTGGACCTCTCAGTCATGCTTACAAGTTAATTGTAATAACTTAAAACAAACTTAACTATAGACACAACAGTATTACCAGAGATGCCCAAGTCCCCAGCTATCATTCAGCTCCCATATATGTGCTCTTACCCTGAGAGAAAAAACTAAAGCAGCAGCTCAGAGTGTTACACATTTTTATGAATGAAACATTAAGACATATTGCCAGTTATCTTCTCTAGTCAGCTAACACTTAAATTATAAAAGCATATTTACTAATTTATTTTAAAATGACCTTTACTGCAGACTTTTTCAAAGGCTCCTCCTTTCTACTACACTAAAAGGGTGGCCTTGAGCAGAACAGTCTTCTTGACAGTGCCAAGGCTGATGCCTGAGAAATCAGAAGGAAGATAACACAGGCTCAGACTGAGCTTGAGAAACGAAACTGTACCAAGATGTCACACAGTTCCTCAAACAGAGAGAAGTGCTATAAAAAGACCAGCTGGGATTCAATGCTACTTCAATTTGTGTCTTTGCAATCTCTCCATCTATACAGATTTAACAAATGCACAACTACTCAAGTATGAAGATGCAAGCTGGAACATGCTAGACAGGCAGTATTTATGTAATGCAGATCAATGTTATTTGTACCGTAAACTAGAGTTAAAAAAAAAAAAAAGAAAGCTGCTGCCCTCCAGCAACTCCTACTTCACACACGCTCCTACATTCCTAAGGCCATTGCAGCCTCCATCCTCCAGCTGCACATCACTGCAGGCATGACTCATTCAAGCACTAGTGGAAACAAGTGCAAACTGCTGTGACTAACTGGGTAATGACCTGCAGTTCACACTAGGCAGCAGAGAGTCTGCAGTAATTAAAACTCAAGAATAGATACCGTGCTATTTTCTCTGAAATTAAATTAAATCTTGACTTGTTCATATTTGTTAGGAGGCCTCTGCAGAGATAATGTTACAACCATTTGCTTTTACTACTTCAACCCTTTCACATCTCTCCACTTGCTTCATTTCATCTACCATAGCAGAAAATCTGTCCCAACCACAAACTCTGAAGCAGTCTGGTCAGATTTTTGGAAGAAAAACTCCACACTACAAGAAGTTTCAGACACTACACCTAAATCACCTTTTCCTTCAAAAATTCTATAGTTTTATAAAAAGCTCTGCCAAACTTACCTCACAATTCAAAAAAAAAAAAAAAAAAAAAAGACCCCAAAACCCAAAGGTATTGATGCTCCTTTCATTTATCTTGCATCTATTTTCTAACCTGAAAAAAATATACTGCATTCTATAACTCCAAACCATTTTTACCTCTTATTTTGAAGCATAAAACATGTAAAATATTGATTTTACTTGATATTCAAATCTTAATTTTATCAAGTTGTATTCATATTTTGATTCTCAAAGTGCACCTAATCATATGTTTTAAGTGCATGCAGAATACAACAATAAAGCCAAACATATTCCAAAGCAAATTACCTATCAAACACATTAACATTTTTAGAAATCACATGTAACAACTCTACACTATAAATAGCGCACCTACCACATCCTCAGAAAATTAACAAAACTCAGACAGAACATGCAGTATCTCAAGAAACACCACAGACTGTTTCTAACAAGGTGGAAGCAAATCCCTGAATAACGTGCTCCTTACCAAGAGTAGTGCTCCACTAGCTCTCTTCCCCTATAAATCAGGAAACTGCCAATTCAAACAGCTGAGCAATTGCCATCTATTGTGGTAGATGGAAAGGGAATGTTTCAGGAACCCAGGACACTGACATCAGTGGCTTTATAACTCAAGACAAACAGCTTAATAACTTCCAAATATATTACCTTTAATGATACATCCTGCAGAGAACAGTAAATCCACTTAACTTTATGCTAATAAAGTAGTCCTATTGACATCAGTAAATTTAAAATTTAATATTTTTATTTCTGCCTGTGTATCTATTAAAGATGCTATTGAGAACTCTAGAGAAGGAGGCAAATCTCACACAGCTAAATGTGCAGAGCAATGGAGATCAAAAAGTGAAAGAGGTACAGAACATCCTAAACGTCCAGATAAACTAATCTGCTCCAGACTAACCCTTTACAGTAGCAATAGAAAGTCCACTGCTGACACTGCTTTGACTGAAATGATGGGAAAAATAGCCAAACACAATAGAAAGCCTCTGCTGCCTAATACCCAAACTCAGAGGCTAAAGTCTGGCTAAATACAAAATTCTATACATCAACTGTTCAGAACTACAAAAACTGTTTATTCATTCACAGCTATAGAAAGATACTCAGAACTAGTCTATAAACCACATTTTAGTTTACAGTTTGTCATTTTCATCATTTGGAGGCAGGCTCAATCACCACTGGAGGAAATATAATTCCTGGGCTGCTCACTGCCACAGGTAAAGAATTACTGAACCAAACCCTACTGTCCTCCTTCCCCTGTGCCCTATCTTCTTCCCCAACCCCCCTCCATACACACACACTCAAACATTTCTTCCTCTTTTGCCTAAAATATGTTTAAAACAATGTTCAGTATGAATTACGCATATTTGAGATTTGAGCACAGTTAAACACTAACACCTTATCTATCTGAAAAAGAAAAGAAGGACGAGTTTGCAGCCAAGTCAGGAATAGTCAGGAATAGACATGGTTTGAAAATGCAGAATGAAGACAGCTGTTGAGAAGGTGAAGATTACAGTTCTGTAGCTACAATTCCATACTTCCAAATAGATAGGAAATTAAACAAGAAACTTAAAAATAAGAAAAACTATTCTGACCAGCTGCTGTGTCCGAACCTTTCAGAAACTGTGTTATAACAAAATATCTAGGGCATTACTCATAATTTAGAGAAATGGGAAAAGTATTTTGAGTTCAAGCCAGTGCCAATGGCACAGCCTTACTATTTATCAGTGAGTCTAATTTGATAAGTCAGTATAGACAAAGAATGGAATTTCAACCAAAACCTGCCTTTACAAGCGTGAGGAGAAGAAATGGCTACGGAAAAGACAGCAAGACTTAAATGCAAGACTTAATATGGCATAAATTCAACTATCCTGTAGAACTGAAAACAGTTAGTGTAAATTAATGTCAACTTTGTTTGAAGGTTTTAATTAGTATCAGAAGCAGTGGTGATGGTTTCTGGCAGATGATGTTTCAGTGCTTCCTGGGGGAGGCTCAGCAGTAGGAGGAAAATAAATGGTTTAATGTAAATGTGTGACCACACAGTTACTCCTAAAATACCCAAAGCTCTGCTCTATAGATAGTGCCATACTACACATACATGCAGGCAAGGATCAAACTTTCTTTTTCCTATCAAATGTTGCATTTCTCATATACATTATTTTATCCATCAATTACATTTAGTAAAAAGGCCTGATTTTTAATCACATTCGGCACTATAGACATTAAGCAGGCATACATACATGGAGCTTCAAAGCTTTAGAGCTCTCTTAGAGCATTTCACCAGCAGCAAAGTATTACAGTTTTATCAAAAAACATGTAAGGTAAAATGCACTTCATTACACAATTAGTCCCAACTGATTTAGTGCAAATGTAAGCATTAGCATACATATCTTACCAGTTAGAGCTGAATGCTTACCACGCACATGAGACTTGCTCCGTTACGTTTTTTTTCTAACATGTCCTGTCAGATATACTAATAAAAGGTGCAAAACCACCTCAAGGAGACTCAAGAAGTGATATATTTGCTGACAAGTTTTTAGTGTCTGCCTTTCCACTACAATTAAGCTGTCAGGTCATGAAACAGAAGATGCAAAGATTCACAGTGAAATTTAACAAAAGCAGAAGTTGGAAGTTGTTACCACAGCACTGTTTGGGTCTTTTAGCAAACCTACTGGAAGATCATGCACATAAACAGCACTTGCTACCATGACTCAACAGGCTACACTACCAGCATTCTTGTTATCTCATTTCAAAACTGTGGGGTTGCCACTCTGATCAAGCAGAACTCCTGACTTTTCCCTCACAAGCATTCTGTTCCTGTTCTTACACCTTGTACCTAACATTTGGTCTCTCAAGAAGGGCAAATATGTCTTGACAATCACATTTACTAATGGCTCTTGAGAAGACACATGATAAAATCTCACAGTCTACTGTCGTATTTTTCTTATGGTAGCAGCCCTGACTTCTCATGTTCTCTTGAAGTATGTAAAGCCAAAGAAGCAAATTATGTTTAAAAGCTGGTTCCCAGCTGGTTCACTGTGTCTCAGTGACATAGAGGAATACTAAATACATGAATGCCCTTTCTTATTATAATCATAAAATCCTTAAGGTTGGAAGGGACCTTTAGAGATCATCTAGTCCAATCTCCCTGCACATGCAGGGTCACCTAGAGCACGTGGCACAGGATGGTGTCCAAGCGGGTTCTACAGATGTCCAGAGAAGGAGACTCCACAACCTTTCTTGGCAACCTGTTCCAGTGCTCTGTCATCCTCCCTGTCAAGAATTCTTTCCGTAAGTTCCTGTGGAACTTTTGGTGCTTCAGTTTGTGGCTTTCTCCTCTAGTCCTATCGCTTGCCACCACTGAAAAGAGGCCAGTCCCATCCTCCTAACTCCCTCCCTTGAGGTATTTATAGACACTGATCAGATCCTCCCTCAGCCTTCTCTTCTTCAGGCTGAATAGGCCCAGCTCTCTCAGCCTTCTTAGACCTATATGGTGGAAAATATGGTGGAGAAGAAATGGTAGAGAAGACAGTTTGATTATATTTGCCGCAAGCAAAAGAAAAAAGAAAAAAGAAAAACAGTGCATACACAACCCTTTGTAATTTAGAATCGTCCTTGCCTCACAAGGTTTGAAAACAAAACATATATTGTTATGAAGGACACAGCAAAACTATAAATCCTTATTCAGAAGTTCTCACTCGGTTAACTTTTCTCAACCTCTTGTCACCCAGACAGCCCTCTTATTTTCGTTCCTTTAACTGATTCGCTATGAAACTACATTTTGTCAGCTGGAACAATTTTTCATTTTATAGACCAAAATATCAGAACAAAGATATCTGCAAAGTTGATTTATTTTTTTGCCAACATCATCAGTGATGATAAGAGATTCCCAAAAGAAAAGTTAGGTATCTATGTGGATTTCTTTCTCAAGAGTCATGGACATTATAACCTGGAAGTCAAATGAGAATTACTAATGGCATCATTTGCTGTTGGCTCAGTCAACCTTGGGTTCCACAGGGTCTCCAAGAACTACACAGATGTCAAAAGACCCAAAATCCAAATACCTACATCCCACATAAACAACTGTATAGTATGGATATTTTAAACAGTCATGAGTACTTAACAGCTCATGTACTGACTGATCTTCTTGCATAAGGAAAATAATTTTGCAGTCTGAACTAGTCAATAACCTAAAAAGGGATTGGGGGGAAAGAAAAGTGGAAAAAAGAAACAGAGTTCCCAAAATCCATAAAACTTTTTTTTAACTCCTTTTTTTCCCCCAACTATCACATAGGCACATTTGTCACAACTGTTCTGGGGTTTAGCTTTTTCCATGAAGAATTAAACAGAACACTAGAGAGAGGATAAATTCAATTAGCATGCAAAGTGATAATAAAGAGCTGAGTTTGTAACTGAACATTTAAAAACATATCTAAATTAAGGTTTTGCAAAGTACCTGATGTGGAGTTTACTGCTCTGCCCATCTTGTAGAGGATGCTCTTCTATGGCATCCTGTACAAAAGATGGTTGTTGCCGGTTTGTCCTGGTGTAAGGCAGTGTTCCCGTGTGGCTAAACATGTCACAGGACCTAACGGGAATTGTTCCCTTCTTCTTCCTGGGGAGAGTGCCATGTATAGAGATGTCTTGAAAGGAGTCTGCACGATGCTCTGCCAGGGAGGGTTTGCTGGTCAAAAGGTCCATGGAAGAAGCTAATGAGAACTGATGGTTCACTGGGACATTTCTGTGAAGACTTGCAAATTTCCCTGCAGCTATCATTCTTGGTTCTGGGAAAAGAAAAAAAAAAAAAAGAAGAAAAAAGAAAAAAAGAAAAAGCACATCAATCAAAGTCCCTATTTAAATGGAAATGAAGCAGCATAACTAATGAAAGCACCTAGAATTGAACTTCCAAAATGAACTTTGTTTCTTTTAAGGCAGTCAACATGCACCCTGTTGCATTACGGGCCAGTCATGTTGCTTCATTAACAAAAAAAAAAAAAAAAAAAAAAAAAAAGAGAGAGAGAGAGACCCAAAGTTTTAAAAGCTTTTTGACAAAAATGAGAGATTCTACAGCTCAATTTGTAAGAGTATGTTTCTAAATCCAATAGCTGGTACCACTGTGACGGAAAAATCTGTTTCTGAAGGGTTTTGGTCAAGTAGCAAATTCAGCAGAGAAATGGTTACATATTTCTGACAGGCTATAAACTAAAGGGCTCTGACCAAGAGATAAGGGCAGGAGCAGATGACTGGAATTCTCTTCTGCCTCATGCACAGCCCACTGAGGGAAACCACTGCTGATGCTGGAGATTCATATAGCTGTCCATCACTTACATTATCTATTACCGCCTGCTGTACAGTAGAGGGTTTTCTATTACTGTGAACAAAACTTGGTGAGGCAAACACTTCAGACACAGATCCTAGCGCTGTTCCTCAAAAAAAAAAAAAAAAAAAAAAGCCTCATGCTCGCTCCATGCTCCATGACACTATATAAGGCAGATCGGTCTTACACTTTCCAGTAACATTAGTTAGCTAAAACTGTTTTTTCGGCCAACACACCTGAAGTCAACCAATCTTACCTAATTGAACCCAGGTGGTCACCCACCAGGTGTCTCCTATGAAAACTGAAAAAAACCACAAGCACAGCAAAGACTCTCATGTAATCAGAAAAGACTCTGGAAATAGCAGCTCTGGACAGAGTATTTGCTCCGACTTTGGACAAGTTTCTTGCTGAAAAACAACAGTAGTATCCTGACAGGCCATCTGCTACCGCTGCACAAGAATTCCTCTGGTCTGGGGCAACGCAGAGGTGCTGCCGCGACAGCAGAGCTGGCTCTGCAAGTCCTCCCCTACCCCTTCTCCGGACTCAGCATCACAACACGATCGAAGTGTGGCTGCGCTAAAAGTCCCGTTAGTCCAACTCAAAGCTTATCCTAAAAGTCTTAGTTTCAGAGGAACACTAAGGCTGAGCTCAAATTGATGGAAGAATTCTGTCAGCTTCCCTACACAGAAACTCACAGGCTGGTTAAGTTGTTCCAGACTTGCATAGCAAACACCTTCCCACTTCTCCCTTATTCCAGGTCTTACAATAAATATTTATTAAGTACAGATGATAATCAATATTTAGATTATGATTATTTTAATCTTAAATTTGCCAAGGCTCTGAGCCCAACTACGCTATAGCAGAAAAACTTTTGGAAATAGCATCTCTCATAGTCCTATCACATGATTATAGCAATCCAGTAGGTCTCTAATCCAAAATTCTGAGAATTTTCACTAAATAAACAATGATCCTTCAAAGGACAGCATTTTGCTTTTTACCGTCCCTCCTAAAAGGCCTTTCTTAAAAAAAAAAAACTGTTTGTCTTAATGGTTATATCATAATCATTTCACCTTTCAAGTCCCACTCTTTAAACACTACACCACAATCCATAAATTTAACACTTCAAATTCAAACTTGAGTTTTGAGTAGCTAAATTAGAGTCCACATTTCATAAGAAATATCCACATGTCAAGCATTTGCAAGACGCTTAGCCACAATTACATGTCTACAGAGGCTCTGACAGTATTTCAAGTAATTCTCCCCTCACAACCACTGCAAACAAGCCCAATCTGTGAACTTCTACCTGTAAATTTACCTGCTTACCTCTCTTCTTCTCTATCAAGAATTTCTGGTAAATGCAAACCAAGAACTAAAGCAATCAGCTCTGTAACAAATGTTTTACTGAAATTTCTTGCATTGAATGTAAACAGTGCAAAGTAGTGAGCTGAAGCTGAAGCTTCTGGAATGTCTCAAATATTTTAGCATATGATTCAAGGTATGTTTGACTTGACTATAGATAGACACCTGATACAGTTTCTCCCTGGAAACTGTACTCTCTGAACCTCTGTCACTGTGAAAACTGTCAACAGTAGACATGGTAGGAATTACAGCAGAAAAACATCAACAAGAAAAGATGAAATTCAGTTCTACAAATTCCTTTGTGCCAAGTATGTATTTGTTGGGCAGGATGAAATATGTATCAGACTGCAACTGGGGGGTAGGGAGGTGCTATTCACATCATTATTTAAGGTTTAAAAGGACCATATGAACAATAAAACAAACGACCTTTTCCAACCTCAAAGCAACAGGCAAAAAATCTTCAATCTATGCCCTCTTGGTTTGTGGACACAAACACAAGCTTTCTGGCTTGGCTGGGCATCCTGAGAACCTTCTCAAGCAGTTTGCAGAGCCTAAGAAAGTGTTCTGAGGCTCTACTCAATCTGACAGAAGATTAAGTGGCCCTTCCATACCAGAATCTAACACAACTAGCGGTGATAGCTGTGATTTTGTTGTTTCAATACACTGCAGGGAAGAAACGATGGAAAAGGTTATCTGCAGTTTGGCCTCAGAGATTCATGCATGACTAATAAACTGGCCAAGTTTTCCTTATAAAACGAAAACAGAAGTGCAACCAGACTCAAGCTATCAGAATTACTTCTAGAACACTTTTTGATAATTAGATGATTCATGCATCTCTCAAAGTCTTATTGACCTAACAGGCAGCAGGATTCCCCTGACTTTGGATCAAGCTCTGTGAAGTCCATATGTGGTATTACCATACCACCACCAGTGGTACGGCACTACTTCCAGTCTCACCAGTTCTTTACCTATAGAACACATTCAACTGATGAAAAATTTACATTCTCAGGTATATAGAATCAACATCCGTAAAAAACAATAATTTTTAATAAAGTCCCTCACCTCCCTCCTCTCCCAAAATAGTAGATTTGGAAAAGCTGGGGATATGTAACTTGTTTTCTCCCTTTTGATTTCCTCGGCTCATTTACCTGTATTATATATGCGCATGTTGGAAATAAGGGAAGCGGTCAATCATACTGGCAAGTAAACCTCAGGATATAAATCAGACTTTTTTCCCCTCACCTGTGTAGTAGGATGATTGAAAGAAAAACAAAACAAAACCAAAAGCAACAAATGTCTAAAAAGCCACAAAGACCGTGTATTATGGAAAGGAATACAGTTAAAACTAAAGCCACTATAAATGCATACAGTCAGATTTCACATTAATTGTTTGCTAGAAGTACCCTACCATCTTTTTCATTAATAGAAATGGACTCTTGTTACCAAAATAGCTTACGTGAAACATTCTGCAACGTGCATTTTCTGCTTGTTTGTAACAGAATAAATTGATGCAGTAGCTGCTATATCAAACAGGTCACAGAACTCTGAGAAGAATATTAAGGTTCAAGAATCTACAGCTTGTTAAGATAAGGAGAAATAGATTGCGAAAGCACATATGAGAGTTTAAAGGCTTTCAACTTCTATCAGATGAAATGTACATCTGTCAAATACCAAAAAAATCTGTAAGATTACAGACGGGATCAACGCTTTGTATCCGATCTTGAAGGATCTTGAAGTTCCGTCAAACCATTCTTGCTTTCTCCTTATACAAGTGAGATATACGTACACATAAACACACAAACTCCATCCATGCATCTTTGAGCTCTAATCTGACAGTCTATTTAAAATGTTATTTACAATTATTCTCAGTGAACAGAAAACACACAGGTCAGGATAACTTATCTTCACAAATTTTCTCAGTTTTAAGATGAAAGAAACTGGTAAAACACATACTTCCTTTTTACCTGTAGAACTCCTCCAGACCCATAAATAACATCATAAAAGAATAATCATTAAAGAGCATTCAGTAACAAACAAGTAGAGACCTCATTAGGCTTATACTACAAAATTATGGAAGAAACTTAAGCGCCCACCAGTTCAGCTCAGTAATCCTGAATAGTTCAAAGCCTTGACTAGAAATAAACACTCTCTCCCCTCTTTGCCAGTAAAAATAAACAAAGAACTTCACCAAGGCTAAAGTCAAATCTACACATTTTCAGCTAACGATTCAAAATACAAGCTTTGTTCTTCCACCGCCATTGGAAGTTATTTATTGTTTTGCTTGCTACTTTGTTCCCACAATTTTAACTCAAAAAGAATAATTCCATAACAACTCAAAATGAACCCTTTTAAAAATCTTTCCTACAGCAAGCATACTATATATTATTTGGAATTAAAAACCAATTCATTAACTTTAACAGCTCTATGCGTGTTCCTCTTTAAGAGACAAAAATTAAATAAAAACAATACATTTCCTTTCCATCTACCCAGCGAAACATCTCCCTACTTAGAGCACAACGACGCTCTATACTTGTACGTTATTTGGGAGATTTCCACGGGATTCATTCCTACGAAGCCTCAGCTCAAGTATCTCGGTGGATCAAACACGTCAGCAGCCAGAGCCCCGGGCAGGACCTTTCCGGGGCCCGCTCGCCAAGCGCCGCCAGGTCGGGGCTCTGCCCGGCGCCCGCCCTGCTCGCGGGCGCGCACTGCCGCCGCCCCGGCACCCGGCCGGACACCGCGGCCCGACAGCTACGGGCCCGATCGCTACCGCTCCTTGCCCGGCTCGGAGGGGATTAGCGCAGTTTCGCCTCGGCCAAGCGACTTCCTGGCAGCGAGTCCGTCGCACCGTCCCGGGGCTGCGCAGAGCGGCGGTGCCAGCTGGCGCCTGCCGGGGAGCGAGAGAGAGAAGCAGCGGGTGCGGCGGCAGCTGGGCCCGCAGCAGCAGCGCTCGGACCCCAGCGCTTACGGTAAATTCCCCGGCGAGCTTGGGGAGCGCCCGAGGCGCTGCCCCGCCGCGGAGGGGCTGCGCGCACCGCGGCGCCCGCGGACCTGAGCACGAGCCCTTCGCCGCGGCTGAAGTGAACGGGCTCCAGCGGAGCCTGCACGCGCCGCAACACGAGCTCGCTCGCGCCGTCGGTGAAAGCACAGGTCGCGGTTTCAGCGCGCGGCACAGACCTGATTCCGTGGCTGTCCCGCGCGAGGCGAGCGCGGCGCCGCCGCTGAAGCCGCCGCGGCCGCAGGCGCTGTGAGCGCGGAGCCAGCGCCGCGCGCCCAGTTATGGCTGTGACCCCTCCCTCCCTACCTCCCTCCCTGCCTCGCTCCAGCCCGCCGCGCCGGGCCCTTGCATACAGTGACCTCGCGCTGCCCTTTCCCAGCCCTTGAAGACCTTTACTTCCATAAGTTCTCTCCTTAAATTAGCACTGACGCTAAGATTAACCATTTCCTAAACTCACCCTCTTCACAGAGCAGCCAGAGTACATTACATATTACATATTTCACACACTTAATGAACTTCCCACCAGTGAAATGAGGTCATTTGTGTAACAGGTTGGTAGCACAAAATGCCTTTTCTAAAGCAAGGATTCAGATATCCGTTGTTCAGATGGGGAGCTGTGAACACAAGAGCCTCTCACAACAAGACGTCAAGTACTCTATCTACAAGAGCACGGGCAGACATCATAGTGAGGAACACGCAGCCTCTCTGCTTTAGCTACTGCTCCTCCGAGACATATATCCAAATCCTCCTCCTCCTTTCTTAAGATCTTTTAAATGCTTGTTTCAAGCAGATGTGGTCTGAGCACATTTCACAGACTGTTGTTCACCTCACTCTTCCATCTGTTGAATGTCTCTCTTGGTCACCCTCAGTGCCCAAGCAAAGTTCTTGCTGGATGACACCAGCTGAGAGCAGCGGCCACTTTGTCTTCGTGCCTGGCCCTGCGAGCCAGGCAGCCAGGGCCAGCCCTTTGCTGCTAACATCCTGCAAAGATCTTTTGTTTATGAAACTGCTTTTCAAAGCCAGGTACTATCTGTTCCTTTTACTCTTTCCTCCCACTCCTCCCACAAGTAGTGTTAATCAGTCTTACATGTTCAGTCCATAGGTTCCTGATATTGTGATCCTTCTCTGTCTAAATGTTGAAGGTCACGAAGGAGCAGATTATTCATCTTCCAAGACCTCAGTGTATTATCAGGCTAATCAAAAATAAATGAAACTGTGGTATTCTCACTCTAAAGCAGCTAAACTGCATGAGATAGTGACAATAACAGGATTAAAATTCCAAACAGCAACCTAACATAGGTGAAATCACTTTTTGTAATTTGTTTTCACTGAGAATACTGAATTTTTCAGTCTGAACTATCACAAATTGGATTGAATGCTGTATGTACATATTCTTACAGTAGAATGAAATAAATGTAAAAAAAGAGCACTGGAGCTTGTTCTGAAGTGTAGCTGGGCCTAAGGATCCTCTAGCTCGCTAAGATTCTTTCACCAATATGCATGTTAAAGTAGTAGTTATTGGGAGAGGAAAGTTCTTGAAAGAGTGAGTACTGTCATAGATATGAGCAGAATCTTTCCAAAAGAAATTTCAAGTCAGATGAAGTTTACTGAAGTTAAAGAGAATAAATAATAAACATGAAGAGAGCTCAAATACACAGTAGGGGTAAGACAGCTGATGAGAAAGTAAGTTTTATCCAAAGGAAAACCAGCTCACACTTAGCATTTCTTGGCTGTGCTTCTATTTCCTCCCTTCCCATAGCAATCCCACTTTGGATTCTTAACACATAGGCAAGAGCAGTAGGAAAACATTATTATTCTCGGCACTTTTACAGAAGTTTCTTTCAAGACAGGAAAGCTTCAGGTAAATGTGAAAGACAATAGTTTCCCAAAGGATTCACTGGCAGTAAGAGATAACTCATCACTTGTGGCATACTGATGGACACAGCCACATTTCAGTAGCTTCTTTACTCAATTACTGAAAATTACTGACCCTGCACAAAACCTCCTAGTGATGATCTCAAACCAATTTTACATAAAATTAGGCCTAAAGCCATGACAAACTCAATTATTTTCAGTTTCCCAGGTGCAATGATATTTGAGCTACTGATGAACTTGGAAAACAGGCAAATCTTGAACACCTTGTAAGCACTCTGCAGTATCTTCTGTCATTGTCTGTTATTTAAAATAGGTAAATTGAGAGGACAGGGAATGAGAGGTTAAGAGAAATGCTTTAGGTACAGTGACAGACTCCATAATTTAATGGTCACCAGGTACAGCCTACAGTGATTTCCCATATAATTTTTCACATTCTTTCTCCAAAATATACTTGGGAGAAGGGAAAAATGGGGAAAATCAGAGAGAGGAAAAGGGAACCAACAGACAATGATCCTGCCTTGGGAACCAAAATGTCTCACTAAGTTCTGTTCAAGAAAATGGGATGAGAAGACACAAAAGTCGACATACCAGTCAACTTACAGTTATGATCCTCTGACTCGCTTACTTCCTGTATCATAATGTACATCACAATGGTACAGATTCTCACACAAAAGAATGTGCAAGGGCTTCATCATCTAATCAATTAGAAGATGTTACAAGTCCACACAATTTTTTCACCTACTTTATGAAGGAAAATTACTTGGTTTCCTATCTATCACAGTTTAGGTAAAAAAAAAAACCAAAAAACTAAAACCATGCTAAAAATTCAAATCCATTTTGCCACATAAGACATTCTTCTCTATTGACTGATTTAAAAAAAATCATGAAATTTTCACACAATGTTATTACATGGGGAAAATGTCACCATTCATTGTCATGTTTTTATGAATAAGAACTAGAAAAGGAGTACTAATTTCCCTAGTTACATGACTGGGTGCTAAGTAATGGGACTGGTAGCTGGGTAGTCCTAAATAAACTGTGACCACTCTTGAGTGAGTCACCACATCCTCTTCCTAAGGGGTTTATTCTGTCTTTAGATGTAATGAAAGTTTGCCTTCTCTATGACAATTTACACAACACATTCTTGTGCCCACTTTATATGAAACATTTCTATTGGCAATTTGCCTGTAATCTCTAAGAATGAGGAACTCAGAGGACTGCCTACACTGGGTAAGTACCTTAGTTAATTCATGAGTTAATTTGAATTAGATTAGATTCCTTGTTGCAAGGTTTTTGGTGTTCTAATATTCGATTAAATCTACTTTTGGAAATGTGTTTATTAAGATGTGGGATAAAATCTGGAAAATCTGGAAGCACCTATGTCCTGAAACAACTGCAGTACCTTTGCCAAGCCTTCAAACTGGAATCCTATCTCAACCTGCCATTCACCTTAATCATCTTTTTATCTATTTAGCATCGAGCTGTCTATCTCCTCACCATAAAACCGTTAATGGTGAAGTGCTGTCCTGTGTGACATCATCCTAAGGAAGCTCCCCAAGGAACCCGAGACCGTGCTGCTCCCTGTTCCCGTAGCCCACAGTGCCGCAGCCTTGTTCGGTCATCCTCGACTTCCGCTGTGCGCAAGGGAGGCGGGTGCACAGGTGCGCCTTTCCACCTACTGCAAAGCAGCTGTACCGGGCAATGAAAGAACATAACTGGGACTCCAGACAGTGCCAAGACTTTATACTGCTTTATACTGCTGCTTGTTGTAGCTTGTATATATTAATCACGTTAAGAACGGAATGCTTGCCAATTCTTGGGGGAGAGTTTTCAAAAGGGACCTGGCTCACAGGAACAAAAGAGAGGATGGGATGAAACAAAAGAGTTCATGAGAATTTTTCAGTTTGACCTTAAACTGCAGAATTCCAGTCTTCCTAAAATAGCTAGGAGGAAATCCATCTACTTTAAAAGCACTGCTCTGCAGCTGCAATGATACAATGCAAAAATAACTATACCACGATTACAACATGGTATGCAAGAACTGCTCACACAGCAGTGCAGGCTTCCTAAAAAAACAAAAGCCAAAGCAAGTTTTTACTGCAGACTTGTCTTAGAAGTGAAAGGACCCAAACAAAATGCTGCATTCTCTGAACTCCCACTGATGCCCTATGGACAAAGTAATGCTCAGTATAAGCGCTGATTAGGAAATCAAATTTATTCACTGGTAATTTTCAAGTTAATGAATTAAAAAATTCAAGACAGATCAGAATGACAACCCCAAAACTGAAACCTGCTCCAGTTCTTGGAACCCCACAATATTTCATTTGGAAACTAAGAACAGCAGCATCTGACATTATAAGATTCCTCCTAGTTGGTAAGTGAAATGGACAAATTTAGCCAGTAGCTTTCTAGGTTTCCAGGATAAATCTACCAATATCCAGGCTTGCTTTATGGCCTGTTGTAGGCCTGGAGATGCATGTGGATCCCCAAACAGCTATATTAACGAGTCAGTCGAGAAGTCTTATGATCCACATCCTCCAAAGTTCTGTAGCCAGCCATGTCTCACTGCTGACAGTCCTGGAAATCATGCTGTATTAAAACAAGAGAACCAGAGAAGTTATATAGCCCTTAGCTGATCTGGCAAAAAAATGGAGCACGAACATGCTGTGACTTGCTGGAGTTCCTGGCTACAGCACAACCATTTCTTGTGGACCTAGCACTCGGTTCATATCATACTAGATGTCTGATCCTCATTCCCTATTGGCCGAAAGGTTCAGTTCTGATAAATCAGTATTTTCCAATAGGAAGTGGTTTACTGTTAAACTCCTCTAATCTGCAGCTTATAAAAGGGTAAGTCTCAAGTCAGAAAAAAAAAAATGGAAGTTTTGGAAAAAAAAAAAAGATCACTGCAGTTATCAAAAGTTGGTAGAACCACTTACTGCAGAGGTCCATGTATTCCAAGTCAGCTAGTACTAGCCACTGCCGAAACCAAAACACTGAATGGAAAACAGCCCTTGCCTGATACAGTGCAAGAAAACATCTTCTTTAACAACTCACAATTAATAATCCACTTTGCATTAGAAAAAAATAATTATTGCACGTAATTTATGCCAATAACATGTCATTCAACTCCCAATATTCAAATAGGTATAGAAAAACACATCAAACTATTCGTGCTGGCATGGATTACAGAGTCATTTTTCAAAAGTTTGATTAACATGGTTTCAACTGCACTAAAACCAGTTTTCTTTTGTTGACTAGTTTTGGTAAATGGTAGAGTAAACCAGGAGATAAGACCAGGAGGATAAACCAGGAGAATTATGGTAAATCATAAAACCATTTTCCTCCTGGTCTTATCTTCTGGTTTATTATATCATTTACCAGTCAGTCCATTTTCCTCTCTTTTCTGGGAAGACTCAGATTCCTACCAAGCTAAGATGTTCTTGTAAACTTTTTTTCCCATGTTTCTGTAAAAAGTTGCATATACAAGGGAATTAACAGCCTCTCTTTGCATGTGACAGACTTTGATGAGTTTTTCAACCAGAATAAACTGATGCAGAGAAAAGGGTAAACAGAAGACCAGAAAGTAAGAACAAATTAAGCTGGAATTTTCTATGGATGAAATTGAAATGTTACAAAGTTGAAAACATCTGACCATACCAACATCCACATCTCCGAGTTCCTCAAAAAAGAAATGGCAATCACCTTCAAATCTTTCTCAGTATGAACAAGACAGACCACACAGGTAGCAAGTTGTTACATAGAGGAAAGCGTTCAAAGCAGCAGCCTCTTCTCCATCTATTGGCAAGGCTATAGGCATACTTTAGCACTAATCTGGAATCTGCCAAGTTGACACTACATACCAGCGCTCCACAGCATTCTAGTTGAGCTTGCAAAGTTTTAAAGCAGAGCAAAAGACGACAATACGAGCAAAAGGGTTGTAGCTGACAGTGTAAGATACCCAGACATGATGAGGGAAAACCATTTTTGCTGATTATGGATGACTTTTCTCTGCCTTTTTATTTATGTTTATATATTTGTGAGCACAGACAGGGGTATCACTCACTTATCTTCCCTCTTAATAGAGGCATCCTAGGTCTTCTGTATCATGAATTAAGAGGGTGAAGACACACATGGTAGGGAACAGAGAACACTCTGCATTTAATTTTGATTAAATTTCCCTGCAGCAAGGAAAGAAACACAACATCTGCAAAAACTGCTATATAAGAATTTAAATATAAAATCTCATTCACCCATCAAATGCTCAAAGTTACAGAACACCAATGTACATTTCACCTAATTCAGGTTTTGTATATTGTTCTATATTCACCCACAGTAATGGGCATCATGACAATGTTTATATTTTATTTAAATCCATTAAGTTGGCCTTCTCTGTATGAAACTAATAAAAGATATGAATTTTAAGCCTATTAAAACTGCACTCTCTACAGGAAAACCGGTATAAATATAAGCTAAAAAGGCAAGATTCTTAACCCTCTCAAAGGAAAAATGATATTGGCTTTTATATATAGCCACTCCAATATAATAATAATGTTAAACCATCAAATGTTATTAATCAGAATTCAGATCATCAAGAAAAGGTAGTGGAAAGGCAGAGTCCCAGCCCTTGGAATGCCTCGTAAGAAAACTTCTCATCACTTGACTTTTTATATATCTTTCCACCCACAACTCAACCAACAATGCCCACAAGAATACCTCACATACTTATGAGTGTACACGAACATTTTAATCGTCAAGTAACACAAAACTTTCTATAAATAATTCTATCAAGTTCATGAAGATACAGGAACAAAGGATATCTTCAACATCTAGCAAAAGCTAGGCTTTTTTGTTTTTGTTTTAGATAATATCAAAACTTTTTTTTATTAGTATATTTACATTAACCTCACTTTGTGACATTTCTACATTTTATATACTGAAGCAGCTGGAACCTGGTGTCCTTCCTCAACACACATGAAGTAGCATTTATTCTTTTACTGTAATTCATAAGAAACCACAATTAAACTTCTCAAGACTGTAGTTCAATATTGTAATGGGACTAAATATCACCCTGTCCCAAGCCCACCTAGCATCAAACATCGCTCTCACTTTATCTGGGGATTCTGGGAAACAACAGTGCATTTCCTGAGTATTACTCAGCTTCCAAGCTATGACTTTGCTAAGTCATTCTTGAAGTGCTCATAGCTACAGGGCAGAGTCCTCTGGAAAGGAAGAGCTGTTTGTGTGACACTGGACTTGGAGAAACACAGAGATACAGAGGAAACTGTTAGGAGCCCAGGCAGGCTCCACCCTCTGCACGCTTCCTGCAGAGGAAGCCAAGAGGTACCTCCCAAAGGAGTCACCACGTGCCCTGAAAACGTGAACTGGTGAGCAGGACACCAGCATCCAGAATGTGCTGCAGTGCTTAAAAAAACTCAAGATATGGAAAGAGTATTTACAGCTCTCTACATGCCTGCCTATTGTGCCTTATTTTTTGTTAGGTTAAATGCTTACAGACTCCTCCATAGCAAAGCATCACTATGGGTTGGGGTGTCTATGTTGCATCTTACATTTACTTTGGCGCTCTCCAATGCAGGGTTCTACATTTAAGTAACATTCAGTTTTCCACAGCATCCTGCCATTTTATGGCTTTCTGTTTATGAAATAGTGTTAGATAGTATACACATAACTGATCATTTTTGCATTTAAGTTTCTAGAAAACAACAGCAAAACACACATTTGCATAATGTGATTAAAATCTGAACTGGACTAAAGTAACTTCCTGAATTTATCAGTCTCTTTCTTGAGAGAACTTGAAGCAGTGAGTGACTTGCCTCCCACTACAGCACCTTGGGCTGCGGGCTCCCTTACGGCACGAGGCTGTTCCAGCCACCACCCTGGCCCTGTCCCGCTCTCCCTTCCCTGGCCACTCGCAGTTGTACACTTGTTTGTGCAGCTGAACAATGAACTGGGAAGGGGACTTTAGCTGCATAAACAACAGAGGAGAAAAGTTACTTTTCAGTCATATAATTTTCCAAGTCAGGTTCACCACGCAGCTGTGGAATAGTTGTGCTGAGAGCAAAAGAACAAGCCAAAGATGGGAAAAAACTCTTCAAGGAAACCTGAAGAAGGCACAGATTGGTTAGGCTGGTGGTTTGGAAGCCCAGCTTCAATTAATCAAGAGTCCAGTTAAGTAGCCTTGAGGTTTCTAACACTGACCAACATAACACAGCCTTGTTACCCAAAGCACTGATCCACTATTAAATTCATTCTGCTGGACTAAGTGGTTTAATAATTTTGATTTTTTTTTTCCACACCAATTAGCTATTGTTACTCTCATCAAATCAGATACTATACATATTTCCCTGCTATCAGCTGGCATAAAGACATCATAAAGCTAGTGAACTTTGATTTGTACAATCTGCCTCATTCAGCAGATAAGTGATCACCTGCACATATTTGATCCAGGTCAAACGTGTTGCTGGGCAGTATGTTAACACATAGATATGGCATTAATTACTGGAGAATCACAGCCAGATTACCTAGTTACAAGGGAAGAACCCAGGTTGGAACGTACTGGGACACACTCTGTTCAACGTAGCTTTGGAGCCAGGTAACGTTTTAGAATGTTAGTCTAAAATAACCCTTAGAAAACAAAAAATATTGCAACAAGATTTTCCAAAGCTTAACTTCACTGGGCCTAGAAATGCTGAGGCTTATAAAACTAACCTTGCAAAAATGCTCACATATGAAAATTACTTATGACATCAAGCACTATATAGAAAATGTTGAACTAGCAACAAATACAATGCTATTCTTTAAAGCTCAAGTTAGCAGCAAACAGAATAATGTATCTTTTGCTCTGCACTGGTTTAACATTTAGTGAGACAATAACATTTTTTTAACATAATGAAAGATTTAAAACACTGGATGTTCTACTGTCTGACTTCAGTACAGTTCAGTGCTGAAAAACAAGCGTTTTCAGTGTAACTGATTAAGCACTTTGCTTCTAGACACAGCACTCTGCCAAAGACAGCCACAAAACAAAAACATGGCACAATAGGCTGGAGACTAGATAGCAGCCACGAGCCCCACTGTGAAAACACAGCAGTCTGCGCGGGCCGGGCTGGCAGCACCGATCTGCGCTGCAGCTTCCCAGCACCCAACACAGCAGGCAAAGCCACCTTGGGTGTAAATGTCCTGGTGTAAACACAGCTACTTTGGTTTTGCTTTCAAGCACATAAGTCAGTTATCCACTTAGCTGTTTCATTACCCCCAACTGCACAGTGAATGAAAATACTGCACACAAAGACATTTTTAAACATCCATAAAAACATAAAGCACTGCTACTTTTATTAAAACATCAACTCCAAAACACACAGCATCATACTTTACCTTGCAGCCTATCTGCCTGGGGCTCATAAGACATACTCTAATTCAGACATAAAATGCTTGATTTAAATTCAAATTCACTGAAATCTCTGGCAGTACTGCAAGATTAGATTTAGCTGACACATCCAAAACAGAACAATCCCAAATTGTAATTATATTAATAGAATTTGGAATGTTCTGTTCAGCTTACTGAACTGTTACATCTGTAAATCAGTTCGCTATGTAAATGACTGGTCGAGGGGTCCCTTTATCCGACAAACATCCCAGTGAGAACAGTAATCTATTCTTCACTTCAGAAGCTGAGAGGTCACAAAATGAAATACCCAAACCAAATAAGAACAAATTCTTACTGAAATACATCCTAGCTTCACTGCACTAATCAACTTGCATCATGTCTTAATTTGTTCAAATGAGCAGGTACAAAAAAGCCATATTTACATTCCTACTTTACAAAAGTTCAACTAAGTCTTTTTATCTTGACTGAGAGAAGGGAAAGGCAGGAATCTCAGTTAGGTAAAATATTTCTTCCTATGAAATTTTAAGACCCTTAGGCATTTATATTCTGGAATTACTGGGCAGACTGCATAATAATCATATCTTGTTATCTTGCTCACAATTCTCGAAATATCCTGTACAATGAGTCATAGTTGAATAATATCTTACTATACCCTTCCCCCTTCAGAAGGATTTACAGAGCTAGCACGTTCCTTCCAACCATCATGAGCCTGGCCTGAGTTGAATATTGATTTTTCACTAATAAAAGCATCACAAAAAAAAAAAAAAAAAAAAAAAAGTTCTGATCTAAGTCCTCATTGACAGTTAAATCCCAAATAGGAAAGAAGGGCAGGGATTGCCTGGATAAGACACTTCCTTTCTCCTCGGGTGGGTATGGTAGAACATATACAACTTTGCTTAGTCTTAACTTTTCGGGTTTCGTCTTTCCAAATGAGGAAGACAGATTCTTGACATGTTCTCTAACATATAATGTTTAGCTATTCTACCTATTATGTACAGTAATCCTGTGGTTCTTATTCAGAACAGTACATTTGACAGAATGTGATTAGAATATTTATGTTATTTTTGTGACAGAAAAGCTCAAGCTGCTTTAACTCATTCTCTCACCCTTTAAGAGACAATATGGGGGTCTTACCTCTCTCTCTTTCAATTTCCTGAAGCAGCAGGATATTGGAAATGATGTATGTTCGATGGACTTGATTTTCAATTCCAATTTTTCTAAGATCAACCTCTGTAAGATGGAGTAGGTCCTGCAGCAAACGTCAGAGTAAGGAACATACTATACCTATCAGTCCAGGAGTAGTCCTGTTTTCTTTCAGATAAGTTTGTTCTTTCTGGTAAGTCTGCAAGCATGTGTTGCAGGAAATATATTTGTACCTATAAGCTATGTTAATAACAGGATTATTTTTTTTCTTTAAAATATGGTCATTGTCTCTAAATTTTTCTCAAACTGGTTAAGATAGTTGGAGATTTCCCAAAAAGACTTATTTGAATAAAACCCCAGAACTGCTAATCTGCTAATTGTACTAAGTATATAAGGGAAGATACATCTCAAAGTGAACAGTAATATTAGAAAGGAAGATTTGGGATAATCAGGAGACTACTTACTATAATTAATAAACAGCTTGGGTTGTGACCCAGTTCTGAGTAACATGGAATTACAGCTAATGTATTTAGGCAATCAAAACTGAACTGTTGTCTCTCCTCCCTTCTCTCCACTAAATCTTTGCTAGATTATTCCCAAAATAAGCTGCCAAGCAATTCAAGACATTATTTATAAGTATATACAGAATTTCTATTTGATGTTAACATCTTTCAGAATAAAAAGAAAGCACATTCAAAATTAAAAAAGAAAAAAGGAACAAATGTAATTCTTCTCATTTTTACTTTTCTGTATATTTTGTCTGTAAATCAGATAAAGAGAATTCTATAGAACAGACAACATACTCCATTTTGTTACTGGAAAGTGGTGCTCAGAGAAGTGGTCTTTCTATGGAGATTTGACAGTGTAGGCCTAGGACCATAAAGTACAAATCACACGATTACACTGCATAATAATAAGGCTGACTGACACAGAATTACTTTTTAAGCTGAGTCAGTTTCAGAAACAATAATTTTTTAAATCTTCCTTTAAACTAGAATGAGTACAAATGTATAATACGCTTGGCTTTAGACTAAGTAGTTCTTAAATTGCTCAAAGTATCTTTTTTATGTAACTACACAAGGCTGTTTTAGATGCTGTGTGGGCAGATCCAGCTCTGTTTCAAACTGTATTATTGTTTCATAAATGATATATACTCTGCATCTAATGACACACACAAAAAAAAAGAGATGAACATTTTAAATTCTTATTTCATGCCTGCCGTTGTCAACTCAAAGTAAAGTTAATGCTAAAGATGAGTTCACAGTTCAGATTTTTAAACTCTGGCAACAGTGAAGGAGGCCCCTTCTCCTTCCCTCAAAAACACACAGACACACAAACACCCATCCACTTCCCCCTCCCCCCCAAAAAAATGTGCAAACACACAGAAACAAGTAGAAATGCAATATGCCAGTTCTTCAAACTTTAGCAAAAATATTTTAAGGGGAAAACTTAAGTCTAGTGCTGAACAGCACATGCTCAGGATAACACAGAAGTATTTTGAGCTTTTTTTTAGTAGCTTTAAAGAAAGTGCTACATTTCTGCAGTAGAGAACATTAACATGCGACAGGGTTGTCACACATTGAAGCTTTCTTGCCTCATTCAAGATGATAAACAACGTTTTTCACATCTTCAACTGCCTTGAACATCTAAGCTCTACTACATGCTTCTACTGCCATTAATGTAAATCTAAGCATAATTATACTTATTTAAGCATATTTCAATTCAAGAAATAGCGCATCACTTTCCTCAGCAAAATGGATAAAACCATTCCTTCTACTGTGCAGCAAAAAAAAAAGTAAATAGATTTTTTATTTTTGTTGATTGTTTTTTAAGGTAGAAGACAAAGAGAACTTTCTTATAACTTGCAAGAACTTAGGAACTCAACACAGCTCTTAAGCACCTGTGTATTAAGCATGTTAGTAGGTATGTGAAGTCTGAGTAAGTCAGGCATTTTCTTAAATTCTAAATTCAGAAAAAGATTTAATTTGGCTGAGGAACTGGGAAATGGTATAATAATTGTCCATGGAACATATTCTACATAAATTGCAGAAATGAAGGACTGACTTGTGGTCTTGAACTTAAAAAGAGTCCATTGTATTCAAAATGATGCATTAGGCCTATTTCTAAGTTTTGGGCTTCAGCAAAAACATTTTTTAAGCCTGCTCTCAGGCCCATTAAAAACTGTAAGCTATTTTGGGTGCTTTTCTGAGCGTAATTTTGCTATCAACTCAGCTGTCCCAAAGTCCTATATAACCACTTTCTGTGTTACAAAGGTACTAAGTTTTGACTGAGTCCATTTTGGAACACAGAAATGTTCGTTACCTTGTTGTGACAAATTCTGCATTATGTTTGAAATCCTTTTATCTTTATTTTGCTTGGATTGTAAGATTACCTTAAGACTCATGTGCTGACACCTGCTGCATGTGCAATACAGAAGTCAATTTTAATTAAACTTTATTCTCACTTCATGAAATTAGGTTAAAGACAAAAACTTATTGGAAAAAAAATGCTTGTAAATGAATCCAAGGATGTTTTGAGTTGATAAGAATACTTAGTTACATTTTCTATATTTATTTTCTAAACTAGGAGTGCAGAGAGATTTAAAACACATCAAAAGCAAGATTTAAGTGATGTTATTCTATGTGATGTCAGTAAGGTTATATATCTAGATTAAAGACTAAAATTACAAAATGGACAATAAAAAAAAAGCCTCATTTTGACCAAGTAAAAGCCTATGGGAAAGGCCTTAAGAATTTCCAAATAAATTTCCATGGATTTCCAAGATCACTGAAATCAAATTCTACTGTAACATGGTACTTGCTCACATAGTGAAGACTATCTTTAGCCACATAAAATGTCTACCTATAGAAACTACATATAACAATTAACATGTGATATAACATTGTACATATAACAACTAACATACAGTATTAAATCACCTATGTGCTCTTGCTCTGAAAAGCATACCCCTTATATTGATCTGGACTGTCTCAGATTGTAACTAAGACATATTAGAAAAAGTAAAAGCAGAATTTTATCTAGTTCATTGGCTACAAGATTGTATTTTACTGAGCTTTAGCACACAGTTACAAAACACATTTATTTTCCCCTTTCCTAAAGCAAAAGCAAAGTATCAGCCTTCGGTTTTTTGCTCCAGTAAGTCATTTTATAATGGACTGTGGTCCTGCCATAGATTTGCTGAATGATTTTATTTAAAAAGTCAGTTCTTACCTCTACACCATCATATTGTTCAAAGAGCATGCAATACTCTGGGAGACCAAGCCGAGTCAGCCAGCTGGGAATAGGTTGATGCTTCATTATCTTTTGCCTCCCCTCACAACGTCATTGGCTCTGAAAGAAAACAAACCCCAGAAACCTCAGTTACAATATTATTGCAGTATCTCAGCACCTAATGTCACGTAAGTTCTGCCATTGTACCCAAAGAGAGGAACACTTTCTTGGCCATTTTTTAATAGATTGGAATATGAAGAAAGTGAAATGAAACTGCATGTTCTATAAAGTCCCCTGTGTGAAAAGGGTTCTCTGGTGGGTGTTTGCCCAAGATGTGAACACTACTGAAGTCAACCCGTTATGGAGAACATAAAAGCAACTGAGAGATTATTATATTTGGTCTCCATCATGATGTTATCTGAGCTTGAATTATCTGTAAATAAGCATTTTCCTCCTTTCCTGAAACAGCTAAAATTAAAGATATTCATTAAGGAGTATTACTCTCCCAGCATCAGTGTTCCACATGAACACTTACAAAACTTACAGCTTTGAAATAATTGCTCTGAGGTTATGGAGAGCTTTCCATTGGCAGGTTTCAGCAGGCCATAAATTCAAGAAGATCCAATTCTACATCTATGACTCGTGACCTGTACATATCATATCAGAGCACTGATGCCCAAAGCAGGGATTGCTCAAGTTCAGACACGTAGTATTTTCAGTCTTACATTTTTTAGACCTTTTCCACATGAAGATTTTCCTCTCATACATTGTTCATTGCTCATTAGCTCAGTATAAATTACTTGAAATTATGACTTTGCATCAACAAAGCCTGTGTTCCAACATGCCTGTGTACTCTGAACATGTAACAAGAAGTTGCTCACAAGCTGATGTGTTTTGGTCAGCAAAGAGCTATTACTGCTGTCTGTCAGACAGAATTAGCAGCTTAGCGTTGTTACAATTCTTGGAACACTACAAAAGTGTTAAAGCTTTGAGGCTTCTTTTTTGTTTTGTGTGCACTTGTGTGGGTTTTTTTTCTTTTTTTAAACAAACTGTCAAAAAGATTGTTCTAGAAAAAAAGCAACCAATACCAGAAGTATCACCTGTGCTAAAATGCAACACGTTCCCAGGTATGTGTAAAAATAAAATATGATATTTATGTTAGACAAGCATCTTTAGAGGCCCCAGAACATTTTTGGATCAAACATTATTTTGGACGTCACTAAGAATTTCACCTCAGTGATCAACCTTGGAAACTAGTCCAAAGGGCTATGTTTCAAAGACAGCAATGCCATTACGTTGCGAAAGGCCTAGCCCTGGAACTCGCACACTTCACGCTCCATTAAAGAACAAACCTGTTAACTTTCAAATCACATTGTGAAATCCTGCCAGCCTCCACCTAGACAGACCATTATGTTATACATATCACTTGCTTCATTTAATCTCATTTAATCTTTTTTTTAATTATAATTATTGTGAAAATATTGCAGGCCATGGCTGGCAATTGAGTTATGCACCAAAAGAATGGTGCCATTACAGTGCAACTGAAGAGCACCTTGCAGAGTAACATTGAGCTGAAAGCCTGAGCACATTGCAAGGAATTTCACTGAGGAATCTAAGGCCCCAGAGAACATTCTTACGTGAGGGAAAGGCTAGCTTGGCCGGCTCCACTCAAATCTCCCTTTTATTGCATTGTTTAAATGGCTACCTTCACACTGCAAGATAGTTAGCAAGAAAGGCACAGGATTTTCAAGGAGGTAAGAGGAAAAGATAGCTAGTTGGTTAGGACGCTAGGAAACCTGTGCACAAGCAGCTCCTGGTTCATCCACTTCAGCTAATTGAGATAAAGGAAGAAACTTAATTTTGCTGTCATAAAGGAATGTTTAACAGTTTAACAGTTCAAAACTGTTTAACAAGTTAATTTCAAATGTATTTTGCAAGACTACCAATTTTATTTTTCATTTTGAATATTTTGCATAATAATACATAGCAATTAAGAATATCTACAAAAATTTGTGAAGAGTCACTCTACTTTTCATTCCACAACAAAGAGAAACCTAGCAGGAAGCATGAAAGGAATCCCAGAATTTGCCCAGAACAAAACACTCCTTAAACAATATAGTGATAAACAGTGGCTATCTAATCTCCCTTGGCCAGCTGTGTTTGCTTTGTTAGTAATTTATACCAAAGAGGAGAGGGAAAAAAAAAAAAAGAAACAAGGGAAATTGAAATGCAAGCAGAAAATGACATGGAAACCTATGACAAGATACTAACAGATCCCATATTCAATATATTGCATTTAGGACTTTGAATGCAATTATTTTGTGCAGTACCCTTTTCTGTTACCAAGCCTTTGTTGAAGCCTGTGTAGATTTTCCTTACTCTTTTATGATCTTTTTTTTTTTCCCCACACTATGTTTGAGGGAAGAGAAAAAAAAATCCTTCTCTGTTCTGAGAAGTTCACTAGCTGCCCTTCTCATCCTCCTGCTCCAAGCAGTTTGGCTAAATAAGTGATGTCTCGGTTAATGTTTATGTTATTTACCAATCCATTGTTGATTGGGTAGAGGGTACAACCTAGTGGTCAGGACACAAGAGAGATGTTCAGGGTCTGACCAAGGTAAGAGTAAAACAGGATTAAAAATGGTTGCCAAAAAAACCCCAAACCAAAATAAAAAACACCCTAAATACATCATTATGGGAACTGTTTATCATTATGAGTGAGCTTACTGTTATATTTTAAATTATTTTTATTTCTGAAGATAGTATTAATTCTTAGTGAGGGCAGGTAATGCCAGCATTTTTACTACCCAAAATATAATTATGAACACACTGGCAAGTATATGGCTGATGCCGGGCACATACTTTTTTTCCTACCGAGAAATACACATCCAATAACCAGAGGAAAGGAAGGAAACAAAAAGATGGAAAAACATAATGAAATGAAAACATCTTTACTTAATCCAAACTCTCAGACATTCACAGTTAAACATTACACATCTATGAATGTGAGGGGAAAAAAAAAAGTGGTTCACAAGTTAGGGTATATGTGTCGACTCTGACCTTTGATTTAAAGAAAAAACAGGTATGCAAGGTCTGGCATTACAGTCAATTTCAAATTGTGGAAAGAAACAAAAGACCTAAAAAACAATCTACTAGCATCTCTAATTAAAATACATGGTTTGTCTTTAACAAAAAACACAACCTTTCCAATTTGCAATCGCAAGTAGAGCAGCATGAAGCATTTAAGTAATTCTAACATTCCCTTGGAGTAGAAATACGGTAAATAACAATGATAAACATCCTTAATCCCAGACCACAACATATGCATTTAGATTTTTTCTCTTAAATGCAGTGGAGTGAAAAACTAGAATGGTTGGAAGTATTCCTCATGCTTCTGATGCCTCCTCTAAGATTTTAACATCTTAATCCAAAACTTCCTTTTCTTTTTGCAGTCAAGACAATATTATCTCTCTCTCCTCCCTTTTCTATTTCTCTACCCCCATCTTTACAACATTTGCCAAGTGGAAAGCATCTTGTCAGTAGCATGGTTTAAAACAACATCCTATTTTGTAAAAATCTCAGAAGCTGACTGATGTTTAAAAGAGATACTAGTTGCAGAGTGGTGAAGTCTGAAGACATCAATTAATGACACAAAATACATTCCATGTCTATGACTGTGATAACTCATTCATGACAAAAGAAATAATATTCTCCAGGATTTATGAACACCGTAACAGAGAACTTTCAGTGTCTACTAGCTTTGTTCTACTAGCCTTAAAACTTGTAGAAATTTTCTAGTTAAGAACTGAGCATGATTGTAGTCTAATAAAACTATAGATTGGTAATGAACTTATCAAAAATAATGTACTATAAAGTCATATCCATCTTTTCTGGTAGCAAAAAGGGAAGAGCATGTGTAAGACAGGGCAAGAGACAGAAGCAGCAGAAAGAGCTGAAAAGCAACCCATCAGCAGAAACAAAGTGTCAGACACTGATCAAATAATTATTGGCACAGTACACTACACAGTTCAGAGAAAGCACTTTTGGGGCCAAGGACTATGGCTGAAAACAATGGGAAACTATGACTGATAAAACTGCTACTTCTACTGTCTTCATGTATATCCTCTTATACTCTAAAAAATGGAACTTGGTACATTGTATATAAACTTGATGATATCAAAAATATTCCCACCGTTCAGTTCAAGCTACTGCTGTACTAGCAAAGTGCTAAAGAACATTTTTTTATAGCTCTATCTTTATCTTTTACAGCTTTCCAGATGTGTAAAGAAGTTGTAAGAAAGGAGAAAGAACCAACAAGTAATATTTTGATTCCAAAGGAATGTCTAAATACCGTTTTGGTTTTCTGTGTTTTTCTGTGTTTACCTGACTAAAGCTGCCAGCAGTTGCTTTCATTGCTGGCTGGAGGTGTGGTAGCAGCTCTGCTGCAGCCAACTCTGTTCCTGGACCCCACCTCAGGTGGTTTTCTCCCCTCCATTCATTTCTTTGCTGTACCAGCACTAGCATTTACATTGCCACATTGAAGGGACTTGATCTGACAAAGAAAATCTGAAGAAAAGAGTTGTCCTTTCCAAACAGACCAGGTCTCTGATTTCCTTCTTGGTGCAGCCACACAAAAGCCAGTGCTGGCAGAAAGCCTGCAGTGATAATGGAAGTGGCCACACAGTAAAGGCACAACTCAGGATACTAAAGCTGAGCTACTGCTCCTCTCAGACTCATCTGCTGCAGTTACAGATTCCTCCTCCATTCCACATCACAGTCTGCATATAAACATTCACTTTTTTTAATCCATCTTGAACGATGAAATAAAGCAAACAAGGCTCAGACTTTGGTACTTCTGCCGACTGTGGTGTGGAAACAGTAACTGCAGGAGATGGAGAGGAAAGGCCGCTGAGGAGCACAGCTCAGTGTCTCTAAGTCATTGGGGCTGTTTGTTTCAGGGCAAAAGGTCTTTTTAGATAAGGGAAATAGCAAAGCTGCAAGGACAATTTCTGTTCTGGTTGGTGACATCTAACAGGCTTAAGCATTTGTTTTCTTTGGTCTAGAACAGTCCAAAGTCTTTCAAACATAAGCTGAATTGTCTCAAGTAGTTTGTCCTATGAAAG